AGGTCAAGCAGCACCCACCAGAGTTTTGCAGACGACACCTTTGTTAAAGAATTTCGTTGTGGGGATATATACCTACGGTTCCTAGCCCCTGTGTTCTTCGGTCCCTTAAGTAAATGAACTCAATCTTGACTAGCTCTCCTTAACTAATCCTAACCTTCCCTAGAATAGAAAAACCTACTCTAGCCTACCGTAGCCTAAAACCTACTCTAGCTAACCCAACCTACCTTAGTCTAGCAACCCCTATTCAAGCCTATCCGAGTCTAGCGAAGTCTACCCAAGCCTAACCCAGCCTCCCCTGGTCTAGCAGAGCCTACCCAAGCCTACCAGAACCTAGCCTAAGACCGTGGAACACCGGGCGAAGGATTCCGAAAGCCGCAAGGGTGAGGGCGCCCTTCCTCGGCCAGCGGAAGGGCAGTGAGGATGGCGCTGATCAAGGACGCACGAAGGTTGCAGGAAATGGGAAGAGGATTGGCAAGCACGCAGGAACTCCGAAAGCATTCAGTCGCGGGGTGGTGGCGTGATGCCTGTAACCTTGGGGTGCCACGCCACTGTGAAAAATGACACTCTATGGCTGTGGCGGCGGAAGAGGTCGTGGCTTCAGAGCCTCTCCTGTGCAAGGGGCGGAGAGCCGGTCTTGCCATAGGCGAAGAAGAGGGATCACCCGCGAGGTATTTACTTTGAAAGGAGACTGCGTGCTAATGTTTTGAGGGAATATTGATTTGAGATATTTCTTTTAAGCGTTGAAGACTAATATAAGTAAATCTGTTAAAAGAAACAATGACAAATGGATGCTACATCGCTCGTTTCTAAATGGGGATCTGAACCTAGATTTTCGGTTCCCCTGAAATTGTCCAACCTACAAGCGTTTTCACTTTTTAAACATTACAAATAAAAAAATAATTGCCTTGCCTTGCGAATTCTGCCGTCGCCCCGAACTCAAGCCCTAAGCCAAAGACGAGGAAGCCAAAATACCTGCACAGGCCGAAGCGACGAGGATGCTAACCAGCACGGTCTTGATCTTCCACGCATCAACTTCGCCGCACATCTCCAAGGGCGTCTCAAGGTCCTCCTTAGCGGCTACGACGACGGGGCGGGAGCAGGCAGCGCGGGGGGGAGGAGGCGGTTGGGCGGCGGGTCATGCAACTTCCCTTCTCTCTCTCTCTCTCTCTCTCTCTCTCTCTCTCTCTCTCTCTCTCTCTCTCTCTCTCTCTCTCTCACTGCAGCGCCTTCGAAGGGGACAATCTCTCCTTCGCGGTTCCTGTCTTCTTCACTGTGTGGGCGTCGGGCTGGGCGTGAGGGCGATGATGAAATGAGAAGTGCAGCGTCGACGAGAGGCGGGGGATGGGCGGCGTGGTGAGGGGGAGGCGAAGAGGGACGTCTCGAGAGGCTGGTGAGGATGATGCGCTGTTACGTCCCCTCCAGGAGGATGGTGATGACTATCGTGGTGCCTGTTGCGTCCAGGTTCTGCATGGTGGAGGCGGCAGAGATGAACGTCGTTCGGGAGAAAGAGGAATCAACCGCACGCGTGAAAAAAGGTCTTCCTCGGGCTTCTTTTCCTCGTTTCGTGTGAGATAAGGGCCTGGATGCCCCCTGTGTGCCTTCGATAACGAGAGGAATCGGCTTCTGGCGCGTTACCCAAGTGACATCCAGGTAAACTGCGCGAGCACCTCTGTACGTCCGTCACCTTCTGCGGCCAAAGCCAGACTGCCGGAGCGACGGACACGCGCCCCGTTTTCTCTCGCTCCGATGAGGGCGAGGCGTCTCCAGTGAGAGTGTTGCGAACGAGACAGGAAGCACCTGTGCTTGTGCAACCCTCGACGAAAAGTCCGCAGCATTTCCGCCGAAGATCGTTGAGCTCGCGAAGAAAGAAGGCGTGAGACTCGTTTCGAAGGGCTGTTGCCTCTGATTTCGGCGATCACATCACCAGATTTTTTTCTCAGGCGAAGACTTGGCGGTCTTTCACGCGTGTTGGCCGAGTGCCAAGTCCAGGCGCTACACGAGAGCGAGGTGCTCGAGCCTCGCCTCGTATTCCAACCATTTTTTTCCAGAGCCTTTTCGTCATATGGAAAAAAAACAGCATCAGTTTGCTACCTTCCATATTGCCAGTTTCAAAACTAGCGGCGCGCTGTGCATGAGAGTGAGAGTGTGTAGTGGAGCGTTCCACCCCCACCACCGCACACCCCTCCCCTCCCTCCCCCGGCCCCTCCCAGCCGGCTCTCTGACTAGTCACTCGGTCACTAACACAGCCGACTCTGACGCACTCACGTACATACTCACGCACGCACGTGCACTCGTTCCATGGAAATGTCAGGCGAGGTTCGCTGACTTTTTTCCTCTACGGACTGTCACTTGACTCATAGGTGTTCCGGTGCTGTTCCTGCGCCATGCAAGGGTTTCCAAAGTGAAGCTTCAATCCTTCAGTTCCGATTCAGAAAATGAATCGGGTTTCACGCGAATCGAACCAATTCAACACAAGCGTACTTGCAACGAATGCTGAACACAGAGGTTTTACTCTCCTTTACCGGAGCATTTATTTTTTATGCAATCTCTGCCCCGAAGAAACCGAAATGAATAACATAGCTAAAAAAAAAAGAAAAAAAAAAAAGACAATTCAACCCTTTTCCACCGAGTACCCTTCCTCCCTTCCTTCCCTTTCGAAACAACAGACCATCCGGTTACATGACTGCAATCCCTATGGCCAAGCGGGGCGTGAGGAAGAGGAAAAGGAAAAGGAAGAGGAAGAGAGGGGGAAGGAAAGGAAGCGAGGAGTAGGAAAAGGAAGAGGAAGAGAGGGGGAAGGAAAGGAAGAGAGGAGTAGGAAAAGGAAAAGGAAATAGCGGGGGAGTAGAAAAAAGAAGAAAAGAGGAGGAAAGGAAAGGAGGAGGAGGAGTGAGGGGAAGAAAAAGAGGAGGTGGAGAAGAAAAGAGAAAGTGGAGGAGTGGGAGATAGAAGATGAAGAGAAAGAAGAGACGGAGAAGGAGAAGAGGGCGGAGTATTTTCCGAAAAACCTGCACAGCTGATATTGGGGTATCCGCCTCCCCCTCCCCCCTCCTTCCCCCTCCCCCTCCCCCCCCCTCCCTCCTACCCTCTTACCGGCGCATTCCAGCTGTGCTATTAGCGACTGCATTGCGCTAGTGGTTTGCTTGCTATTAAGGTTACAAAACACAGAACACTTGAGCAGATACAATCTTTCATTTCTTATCGTTAATGTCCTTTTTGTTATCATTATTATTGTTGTTTGCGGTTGTATTCCTTTCTATTTCATAACTAAATTTCACAACACGTTTCTTTGTTTTCCTTCGTTTGATTTTTTTTTGTCTTTTTTTGTCTTTTGGTATATTATCAGCAGTATTGAAGTTGAAAGAATATCATCTATTATTATTATTGTTGTTTTATTCATTATTATTGTTGTTATTATTATTATTATCATTATTATTGTTATTATTATATTATTATTGTTACGATTATTATTATCACGATAATAACAATATTTAGCAATAATGATAATATTGCTTATAATGATGATAATAATCATTACTGTTATCATGATAATGGTAATAATACTAATGATTATGACAATAATGATAATGGAAATGATGACAATACTACTACCACATGATAATAACAATATTAATGATAATGATTATAATGATAATGATAATAATAATGATAATAACCACCATCATCATTATCACTGTCACCATTATCACATTCTTATAAGCATTAATAGACAAAGGAACAATTAATAACAACATATCTCACCACACAACGATCATCGAAATCTAAGAAAATGAGCATGACTGACAACGCAAGTATATGCTGAACGTGAACAAGTCCGTGACAGCGTTAGAGACAAAGAGTATTATTTGCGACTTGGCAACCTAGAACTACATCTTTTTTTTTTCCTTCGTTCGTTATGCTGACTTGCCTTTCCTTTTTTTTTTTTTTTTTTTTTTTTTGTCCGCTTTGTATTGCTTTTTTTTCTTCTCTCTCTTTCATTTGTTATTGTTTCTTGTCTTTTTTTTTCCTTTTTTTCTCTCCTTCGTTTTGCTTACTTTCTCTCTCTCCTTCGCTATTATTATTTGTCTTTTCTTTGTTTTGTTTTCTCTCCTTCGTTATGCTTACTTGTCTTTTATTTACTCTTTTTCTCTCTTTTGCTTTGCTTTCTTGTCTTTTATTTACTTTTCTTCTCTTTTTCGTTACTCTTTCTTGTCTTTTATTTACTCTTTGTCGCCATTGCTTTTCTTACTTTTTCTTTCTTTTTCTCTCCTTCGCTCAATTCATTTGTTTTTCCTTCCCTTTTCCTCTTCTTCGCTCTTGTCTTTCTTCGTTTTCCTTTCTTTTCTTCGATATGTATTTTTGTCTTTTTCACCTTTATTTCTTTCGTCTTCCTTCCCTTTCTCTTCTTCTCTCCTTCCTTCGCTATATTTATTTTCCTCTCTTTCATTTTCTTTTCTTCTCTTTGCTTACTTATCTTTTCTTCATTTTTTTTCTCTGTCCTTCGTTATGCTTACTTGCCTCTTCATTCTTCGTCTCATTCGCTATGCTTATTTATCTTTTTCTTCCTGTTTTCCCTTCTTCATTGTATTTGCCCTTTCTTCACTTTTTTCTCTCCTCCTCCTTCTATTTTCTCCTCTTCTTCCCCCCTTCGTTATATTCAATTTCATTCCCTCGTTTTCATCCTTCGCTGTGCTTCTTTATCTTTTTCTCCTCTTTTTCCTCCCTTTCGCTCTACTTACTTTATTTCTCTGCTTCTCTCTCTCTCTCTCTCTCTCTCTCTCTCTCTCTCTCTCTCTCTCTCTCTCTCTCTCTCTCTCTCTCTCTCCTCTCTCTCTCTCTCTCTCTCTCTCACACACACACACACACACACACACACATATATATGTGTTTGTGATGTGTGTGTGTGTGTGTGTGTGTGTGTGTGTACATATATATATATATATATATATATATATATATATATATATATATATATATATATATATATATATATATATACATATTTAAACGCATATAAAGTTAACTCTTCTTCCCTGGCAGCCGTTCCCTCCCTCACCCTCCTTCACCCTCCTTCACCCTCCCTCACCCTCCCTCACCCTCCTCACCTCCCTTCCCTCCCTTCTCCTCCCTCACCTCCCTCCACCCTCCCTCACCCTCGGCCTCAGCAAGTGTCCGATCTCCCTCGAACGACAGCGACTTTCTGCTCCAGTTCTGTCGCCGCAGCAGTTTGTCCTTCAGTATTGGGATATAAATCGCCATCCTTTTTATTGTTTCATGTATTTATCTATGTATTTTTTTGTTTATTTATTATATTATTTGTTTATATATATTTTATCTTTTATTTTTTTGGTGGGATGGAGGTTGTTTAAATACGTTCATCTTTGTATTATCTGTAAGAAATTTATTCAAGTGCGTTATTTCAAAGTTAACAATACGCACGTAATTATTTTTTTCACTTTAAGTATATAAGAGAATTTCCTTTCGCCAACTAATTAAAAGTGGGATGAAAAGAACAAAGGGATTTCAGGTAAATTGTGATTTAGAAGGACAGGTCAGACTGAGATCTTAAGAGGAGGGGGGGGTGGGGGTGAGGTATGAGGGAGGGAGGGTCATATCTTCCTCGGTTTTCTTTTGTTTTCTCTTTCACTCCCTTTGTTTGTCTGTGTGTGTGTCTCTGACCGTCGTCTCTTTCTTTCTCTCTCTCTCTCTCTGTTTGTCTCTCTCTCTCTCTCTCTTTCTTTCATTCTCTTTCTTTCTCTCTCTCTCTCTCTCTCTCTCTCTCTCTCTCTCTCTCTCTCTCTCTCTCTCTCTCTCTCTCTCTCTCTCTCTCTCTCTCTCTCTCTCTCTCTCTATCTCTATTTATCTATCTATCTGTTTCTCAAATTATCTATCAATTATCTATCAATTATCTATCTCTTTATCTCTCTCTGTGTCTGTCTATCTCTCAACCCTCTGTATATCTTTCTGTCTATCTATCTCATCTGTCTCTTCTATCTCTTCTCTCTCTCATTCCCACTTTCTCATCCATCTCTCTCTTCCTACTTCCTTCCTCCAAGCCATGCGCCCAGACCCCTCCCCCCCTCGCTCCTGGTAGCCAACGGAACACCTGCGCACACATATACAGGTATTTGCCAACCGCCTCAGCTGTTGCTCTCGCCCCTCCCCCCCCCCTCCTCCCCCTTCTAATCTTTTTTCTCCCGTTCCCCCTCTCTTCTCTTCTCCTCCTGTCTTTTCCTTCTTTACCCTTTTCTTTTCTATCCCTCTCTTCTCCTTCTCCTCCTTCTCTCCCTCTCTTTTTCCTCCTCCTCTGCCCTTCCTTTTCCTCTCCCCTCCCCTGCCCCTCCAGCCCAATAAGCCCACCCCCTCCTCCCCCTGCCCCCTCCGACCCCCACCCCACCCCCTCCCGATGGTCACGGTTTTTCTTAAGGTCAATGATCGTCTCTGGAACCTTTTTTCTTCTCTTTTTTTGTTCTTCTAAATCTCGAATTGAAGGATTGACCCCCTTGCTCCCCTCACCCCTACCCCCCCCTCCTCACCCCCGCCGGAAATAGGGTAGAGAGTCCCTTAATTATGTCAGTTGTCGACCGAAACATCCTTATCCATTTTATCCCTCTCCTATTTTTAATGAGATTAAGTTAGAGGCTTGGTAATCCTGTGTGTCTGTCTGTTAGTCTGTCTCTCTTTGTTTCTTGTCTCTGTCCTCTCTGTCTGTCTCTCTCT